TGGCAGGCTGGGCCCGCGCAGCGCAGAGCCGAGAGCGCCCGTGGCGCAGGGCGGCAGCAGCGCGGGCAGGCCGGGCGGCGACAGCAGGCGACCCTGCTCCAACAGCCGCAGCACGCTGCACGTGGCCGCGGTCTCTGACACCACCGAGCGCAGCTCCGAGTCCTTGCCCTGGTCCTTCTTCTGCTTGGTGCGCCGGTTCTGGAACCAGACCTTCACCTGCGCGCCGGGTCGCGGGGAGGATAGGAGAGAGGGGCAGGAAAAACCAGCGTCAAAGGGAGCGGGCTGCCGGGGCACGAGGGTTCAGGGGGTCCTCCCCGAGCCCCATCCCTAGCCGCAGCCCCACCCCGCAGCCGGAAAGGTCCGGGCTGGGAGCTGCTCGGGGAGCTGGCGCTGCCACGAGGGGGACACAGATGGAGTGGACTGCCCTTCGGGGTTACGGAAGCAGGCCCAGGCCCACGCCAGTTACAAATGAAGTGATAAAAATGCCCACGACCCTAATGCGAAGACCAGAGGGGATGTCACTGTGCTTTCAAGCTTCCGGCGGCCAGATTTGGGGCTCACAGGTCTGGGAATCAGCGCGGCCTGAAAACCCTAATTTCCGGTAGAGGGTGTCAGGCCTGAAGGATGCAGTGGAGGAAGCGGGAAGGGGGTGAGGTGCGGAGGAGCTTTGCTCGGCCTTCCTGGACCGAAAACCCTAATTTCCGGTAGAGGGTGTCAGGCCTGAAGGATGCAGTGGAGGAAGCGGGAAGAGGGTGAGGTGCGGAGGAGCTTTGCTCGGCCTTCCTGGACCCAGACCCCTGGCCCAATGGGCTCGAATTTAGCCCCAGAATCGCTACTCCTATCAAAGGCCACAAGGGACTGTTTCCTGCTTGTTAGGTTGTCTTGACCGTCAACTAGCAGCAATCAGGGAAGGTGGCTGTAGAAAGAAGAATTTGTGCAGAATGGACTTTATAGGCCCAGCTTTCTCCACCTCCTCTCCCTGCCGGCTGGATTGGGGGGTCTGAGTGATACTCTTTATCACTCCACTGCTCTCCATCATGAACTGTGGAATCATGGGAGGAAGTCAGGAGACTGAGGTGGACTAAATACTCTCCACCAACCTCCCTCTCACTTACTCTTCTTCCTCTGCCCCTCTTCAGGCCTAGTGTCGACCCAGAATGAAGTTTGACAGCTATAGAGAAAGGCTGTCCTGTCTGGATTTTGTAAACTGAGGGGTCAACACAGAGAGAATAGGAAAATCTACCAGACCAACTCAAACTCAAAAAGAACATCCCATCTGTTCTGTCCTCAGTGGGCTTTCAGCCCAGATGCCAAACCTAAAATGCTCCCCACCTGCTTCAGGGCTGACATAGGGAAAGGGACTGGACCTCAGAAAGAAGGCTACCTCACCTAGCTGGGCGAAGTTCGCAGCATGCCCTGGCCAGGCCACAGAGGGCCTCCACAGGGCAAAGCTCTCAGGCCCTAAAGTGGCTCTGGGTCCAGAGTTCACATGCCAGCTCCAAGGGCATCATATGAATTTAATGTAAAGGAAAAGACCTAAAGTACAGTCCACAGTGCTGGTTCCCAGGACCCCAGATGTGCTTCCCACATCCCATACCTCACACATCATTGGCACAGAAGACAGGACCTCCTAGGAGCCCAGGGGGGTGTTCGGGGCTGGGTCCAGCTCAGGGCCACAGGAGGCCTTCCTTTAAGGGACAGGGCAGGCTCCAGGCTCCAGGAGGTGTACACCTTTCTGACCCACAGAAGTCACCCACGGTGCTGGAGCAGGGGGCTTTGGCCCCAGCTCCATTTCCTGCAGAAAGGGCCTGGATGCTGTGAAAAGCTTGGGAGCCCCAAAGCGGGTGGTGCCTGGAAATCCGGCCAAAACAGGGTGCCCAAAATGCTTTGTAGAGTTAAAGCAAACAGGAAATGCTCAAGACTGGGGACCAACAAGAATTTCAAAAGGACAGGATTTAGGGCCTCCTGGGCCAGGCCAAGGTGGGCAGAACAAGAGTACTGAAAGATTTGCGGATGAAGGAGGGAAAGAATGGCTTACGGAAGGGGAGGAAGCCTTAGGCCTTCCTTCTCCATCCTCCCCATCTCCTCCACTACCCTGGGGAGGCTCTGTCCAAAGTCAGGTTAGGTGGTGAGAAAGAGCAGGCTGGGGGTGCTGGGGAGGGAGGCTGGTGCAGAACTGTGCGCGACCTGGCCGCCTGGTACCTGGGTCTCGGAGAGGTTGAGCTGCCGGGCGAGCTCGGTCCTCTCGCGGCCCACCACGTACTGGCAGCGCTGGAACTCCATCTCCAGCCGGTAGAGCTGCTCCGCCGTGAAGGACGTGCGCGTCCTCTTGGGCCGGTCCAGGTCCAGGCCCTTGGGCAGGATGATCTCTCGGATGGACCCTTTGGCATCTGGGGAAGGGGAGATGTCAGACGCCAGAACCCTCCCATTTCCCTCAGCCTCCTTGGCCCAAGCTGGCTTCGGGGACACTGTGCCCAGCAGCCTGCAGTCCGGGGTGGGGGGCGGTGTGAGCCACAGCCGGGAGCAAAGACGCTGCGCCGTGTGTGTAGTGGAGCAAAGGAGCTAACTCCAGGCCACTAACAGGAGGAGGAATCAGACTTTGTCTTTGTAGAGTCCTCCGGACAAGGGAGGAAAAAAAAAAAATCAGTTCCAAATAAGCGGATGTTCCTTTCGTCCGGAGGAGCCTCGGCTGCGCAGTCCGGGTCCCCTGTAGCATCAGGGTGACCTCACTGACCAGCCCGGGTCCCGCGGGCCGCTGCTCTGGGGCCTGTTGACAAGACCGTTTTCCAGCGGTCCCCACCCTCACCCGGGGTCTCATTCCCTACCGAGCCCGGGCGGCGGAAGGAGGAGGGACGAAGCGAGGCCGGCGGGGCCTGGCGATCTGGGGGCAGGGGCGGTGCCGGGCCGGGGCCAGGCCTCGCC